TTATTATTATTATTATTATTATTATTATTATTATTATTATTATTATTATTATTATTATTATAATACTAAATAAGCGTCAAGTTCCGTATCCTCGTCCAATATATCGGGATTGTCGTGATTTTTCATTCGTCGATCTGAAATTGGAAAAACTCGGCAAAATGTGGTTTTTGTCGATGATTTAAAATGTATATCTACCCAATGTTCACTAAACGACAATACTATTATCTACCAAAGAATTTTTTTGTCATATAACGTCGAATTTGCGTTATCTATGTTTCAAGTGTTTATGTTAATGTTAATTTTTATATGGAGAAATAATCTTCAATTTATGTGAAATAACTGGAACCACATAAATTATTTAATGTATGATTACATAAACTATGTATGGTAAATTATATTAAAATATAAATTTTGTTCGCCTTATTCGTATAGTAGCATGCATATTTATTGTTTAAATATTACGTGTGATAAATTAAAAGCTATTTAGTTAACAACATTTATGTTAATCTCACGGTTTGTAATAATCCAAAAGTACTCGATTCTTCAACAATTGAATACATGTGTCAAAGAAAACGCTACTGTGCAAATAAAATCCATTATTTTAAATTTCCCATCCTATTATTATTATTTTTATTATACTCTAATTCATTTATAAAAATGGAACAATAATCCATTACCAGCAACACCCATAATAACAGCTGATTCCAACTACCATGCATACTAGCGTAGGAAGTCGGAATTAGTAACAAAAGCCTCAGTCCTGAGCGCATATTATCTTATATTTTTCAAAATAAATGTAGCCCTATTGCCCCTCAGATCCGCTGGACTTGCGCTGCGTGCAGTTCAACATCTACACCGCGGCGGACGGCTGCAGCTCGTGCGTGTGCACCATCGACTCGCGCATGACCTACTGCAGCCGCGACGCCTGCCCGGAGCCGCGCGGTAAGCACCTCCCGGGCGGACCGCCAGAGCAGCGCGGCCAAAGAGAGCGGATCGGGGGCGGCGCTAACAAAATAAAATAAAACATAGAAAGATACAAAAAATAAAATATAACTAAGAGATGCTGATTACCAATGTAATATTAAACAAACTGAACTAATAATTATAAATAGAGTAAAGCAAATATTTCCTGGAAATACACAAAATTATGAACTGCTTGTATCAACCATGACTGACTTTAATATTGCGCAATTGCAGGTGGTAGTTTGCACACTTCTGAAACATTTGATGAACGCAAATTTCAAACAATTGCACAATTCAAGGAAATGACTTTTTATTCAGGAAGCTATGGTGTGACGCGGTGAACAAGGTGACGGGTCTTTGTCGAACGAGAAAAAAAGGTTGCCTCTCTCCGCGTAGTTTCATGCGTGAGATTATTGCCGTGGCGACTCTAATTGTGGAGCGGTCTCGAAAGTAGCTATAATGGCGCTGGCAAGGACGCACAGGGAAAGTTAGAGCAAATATTTGAAGAGTGTGTACTACCTTACAATGAAGATATGCTCCATGCGTATCAAATTAAGGCGGGCAGAATATTCAAATGGGGATAGGGAAGTTTTGCCAATCTTGCGAAATTTCAAAACCCATGGTCAAGTGAACGGACTTGGATGCGTTTCTTGCAATAGACGACAACTGAACTAAAGATGTTTGCAAAAGCTATTTTTACTCTCTCTGAACAAATATTGAATGCAAATTATAACCAGTTTTTTAACAGTTTTTGGTGATGAAATTTACGCAACCGATAAAACAATATCCCAATCGCCGTTTCTTTCTTCATTTTCTCAAAGATTATGCTTCCAGATTTTTGTTTGTCCCTAGATTTGTTGGGTTTTGAAAATTCCTCTGTTAACACATTGTCAAGTACTCATTTTATATTTTGCGTTTATAACTTGCGTTTAATTTGATTTGTGTCAACTCATGAAGGTTTTCTTCGACACGTCAAGTACGTTTTCTGTCTATCGCAAATTGGTTAGAAATTTTGAACTTGATTTTGGGTGATTACTACATTTCTTTTTCTTTCCCAAGATTTCATTACAATGTGATACAGTCGTCTTTTTCAGCAACGCAGGGCTTGGAGCTGGGTCTACGTACGCACATGTGAAATCCCCCTCACGGATTCTAATCCTATCGAAGTCGTGGATGCGTTTACCTTGAAATTGTGGTGAGGTTGGCTTCTGCATGAAGGACCTGCACAATCATCACGTTCATAAATGTACATATATCTCACCATCATTCATCCTTCAAATTGAAGCTTCTCATTCATCCAGTGCAAGGCTACTGTAATCATCTGATCAACAAAGCGAAGGCTTAATAGTAGTTTATGCAATTAATTTATAATGTTAAGCTTTAGTGTATGAGTACATGTTTTGAAATCGAGCGACTTTAGGAGCGAGTTTTCAAATTTGTACGAATATAACGAGTTGCTTCCTATATTTTTTTGTATAACAGCATTATACATTTATAAGAGAATCAAACTTAATTTTGCGAAACAACTTCCCTGTGACGACTCGGGTATTTGACATCGTGCGAGTAAATCGGTTAATTTGAAATCGGCAGTTCAGTTTAGCTCTACCTCCCCCCATTCTCTCGCTGCGATTGCCTAAATGTGTGATGTCGCAATCATTCGTGACATAAAATCTAATACGTCAGCATTTGTGCCGTAAAATGCCCGATTATGAACGATTTCTTGCAACAGAATAGGTTCTTTTATAATGCTGAAATACAAAAAACATAAGTAAAGAGAGAGCATTACGGCTTCTTCCATCGCGTACGCCGGGAAAACGAACGTGGTTTCCATCATTATGGTACACCGTACCTTCTAGGGCTTTATTTTCCACCTTATTTGAGTCTGGCAGAGACAAGTAATTTTCTGCTTCTCCTATCCACTTACCTTCTAGCACTTCTTCATTCCATTCTGAAATTCATGTCGTCTCTCCTTAACACGTAACTCCTGGAACCTTTAAAGACCCACTTATATTGTTTATTTCTTGGTTATTTGGTACATTACACAATAGTCTTCCAATTTCTGTTGACAATAGATTGATTTTTTCTAGATTTTATTTCCTTTTTGTCTGATTTGTTAAATATACATAAGCGCTTATCTCTTAGAAACTCCATTCTTATCTTTCAGCACTTTCGTCTCACTTTTAGTACTAATGCTAGACGTTAAACTTTTAGCACACTCTGTAGTCTCTAAAAGTAACAGCTTATATTAGTGCCTCACTAAAAAAACTATGATGCTAATAATTATTGAATCGCACTTTTATAATACCTTTCCTGGTAGGGATAAGCCGTGTACCGAACATTTACATAATAAATCTGAAACGCGTGTACTTTCCTATTCGATGCGCTACGTCACTCCAAAACACCATATTACAGCCGTGCAATTCTCATGTGAACGTCTTGATGCCCACTGCCTTACGAAAATCGACGGTTTCGAATCAGATTTCTACGTGCAACGCGACCCTGTAATGAAAGGAAATGCATGCTGCGCCGCAGGCAACTACAGCAACAGCGAGTGCGTGGAGGGCGCCACCTACCAAGCAAGCGACGGCTGCAACAGCTGCCAGTGCAACGAGTGGCGGCGCTTCGCCACTTGCACCCGCAACGTGTGCCCGGAGATGGAGGAGGTCTTGGCGGCGGCGCCACCCCCGCCGCCCACAACGGCCGCCCCGCCCGCGTTGAGCACGCCCGCGCCGCCCTACTTGCCGCCGCCCTCCTCGCTCGGGTGGCCGCCCCAGGGCCAGTGGCTGCCCG